CACACCTATCAAAATGGCTTAAATAAAAAATAGTGACACCACCAAGTGTGACCAGGATGTGGAGAAACTGGATCTCTCCTCCGTTGCTGGTGGGAATGTAGAATGGTGCAGCCACTCTGGCGTAAAGTTTGGCTGTATTTTATAAAGCTAAATACATACTTGCCATATGGCCCAGTAATCACATTCTTAGGCATTTGTCCCAGAGAAATGAAAATTTATGACCACACTAAAACCTCTGCATGAATGTCAGGGCAGCTTTATTTGTAATAACCAAAACCTGCAGACACCCCCAATACCCTTCTGCAGATGAAAGGTTAAACAAACTGTTCCACCTGTAGACAAACACCCATTCCATGGAAAGCTGTGCAGCACCAACACCGAATGAACTGTTGATACTCGCTGCCACTGGATGACCTTGGGGGCACTGTGCTGAGTGCAAAAAGCCAGTCTCTAAAGGTCATGTGCTGTATGATTCCATGTCCATCACTTTCCCAAAATGTCGGAACTATCCATTAAAACAGGTTAGCCCTAACTGGTTTGGCTCAGTGGATAGAGCGTCAGCCTGCGGACTGAAGGGTCCCAGGTTCAATTCCGGTCAAGGGCATGTACCTTGGTTGCGGGCACATCCCCAGTAGGGGGTGTTCAGGAGGCAGCTGATTGATGTTTCTCTCTCATCGATGTTTCTAACTCTCTATTCCTCTCCCTTCCTCTCTATAAAAATCAATAAAATATATATTAAAACAAACAAACAGGTTAGTGGTTGCCAGGGGATAGGGTGGGATGGGAGGGTGGGTGTGTCTAAAGGGGCAGCACTAGGCCTCTCCTTGGTGGCGATGGAGCAGTACGTGGATCTGCACATGATATCAGCTGCATCGAACTACATGTGACATGTTACTGCATGCAGAAACTGGTGAAATCTGAATGAAGCCTGTAGTCTCACTAGCAGTATTGTTCCATTCACTTTCCTAGTTTTGATACTGTACTACAGGTTATATAGGACGTCACCACTGGGGACACAGGACTTGGTATACTTTCTTTATAACTTCCTGTGGGTCTATAATTATTTCAAAACGTGTCAGGGTTCAACCAGAGAAGCAGAAACAGTAGGAGATATGAGAGAGTCAGAGTCAGAGTCAGAGTCAGAGTGAGAGAGAGAGAGAGAGAGAGAGAGAGAGGGAGAGGGAGAGAGAGAGAAATACAGCACTCCCATGAGGAATTTATCACAAGGGATTGACTTATACATTCATTGTGGGGGCAACTGAAGGCTGTAGGGCAGGTTGACAGAAAGGGCACATCATGGTCAGCTGGCAGGAGCTGTTTGGAGTCTCCAAGACCAGGGAAGAGTTTCATCTGATCAGGCCAGGCCCATCCAACATTATGGTAAACTCTCAGTTATTCAGACCTCAATTTAATTGGATTTAACAGAAAAAATTCCCAATCTGTATGTTATATGTAAAAATTAACACCCTCTTAATTTTAAAATGCTTTTAACCATGATTTGCTTATAATTAAATTAATAGGTTATTTTTGTTGTTGTTATTCACTGTTATTTTAAACAAATTTTAGCAAATGGGCCATATGTTGGAAAAAACACTGCCACTGGATTTCACCAGCATAAATAAATACTACATACCTACAAGTATAGCCTACATATTTAAGTCCAAGAGACTGCTTGTAAACAATGTTCCATAAATGATTAGCATGTGATCACACTGCATTGTGGGCGGTAGTTGGTTCTGTTATAACTTGGCATGACTTTCTGCAGCAGTTTTAACATGTGCTGGCCAATGTTCCCACCTGCGCTGAGCCACACCCCAGCCGTGTGCATTTGTTTACTCACGGTGACTGGTGAATGCATGTATTTACTAGGCCTATTCAGTATAAATTTAAAGTTACTGTAATATATATAGACAACTTCTATGAAATTAAGCTTTTCATACATACTTAATTTTAATTACACGAACATGTCTACATAAGTAAAAACGGGTAAGCTAGCTAATTTGTCCGTTTTTTAACAAATATTCGAAAAACCTACTTTATTATATAATGGATTTTGGCTTTAAGGGCTATCCCCTCATCCAAATTAATCGGTTATCTCCAGGTTTTACTGTATCTTTCTTTGGGTTAACTTCAACCAATTAGGACTTTAATCACATCTGCAAAATTCCTTTCAAGCAGCACCCAGATTAGTGTCTGATTGATTGACTGGGACTGTAGTTCAGCCTAGTCAAGAAACTTAATAGTGTGACAATTTTTCAGTATCTACCCTTAGATAACTATTTCATTCTTCTTAATGTGATATGGATGTTTCATAATTTTTGAAAAATGAAATATTCTTTGGTACATTTTGAGGTTGACATAAGTTACATTAGTTAAGAGTTGGTAATTTCTGGCATATTGTAATACTGATATTTAAAAACAAAACTGATTCATTGCTCTTTAAATACTTTAATCTAAAACCATCATCCATTAAAAAAATCCTATGAATAGGCTTTTGACAGCCAAATTTTACCTTGTTTCTTTGCTTTTTGAACTTTCATTCCCATTTCTTTTCCAAAGTTTTGTCCTATCTGACAGGCTGTCACACTCCTCAGTAACAGAAATATGGACAGAAATTGAAGCTAAATATTTATTTCCTGTAACTGTAAGGCCCCAGGGTTAAAGACATTTATTAAAATTATTAGTACACAGGTGAACAAAACAACATAAATATGTTACTTTTGTTTATAATGAATTCTTAATAACCCAATATTGTGAATGTATCCTTGTGATGGTGAGGATTTAGTTTTAGTTAATTCCTGAATCCATGACTTACTGCTTAAAATGAGACAGGGTTCATTCAGCATTACTTTTATTTCTCTTTTTAGTTTTTATAGTTTTAAGTTCTGAGAAATGTTGTTCCCATAAATAAATCTGTGGGAGAGGAAAGAGTTCCTCAGGTCTTCAAGTTACATGCCAAAAATCGTTGTGGTCTATCATCAAAAATTATTTTTGATGATCTGTGAGCTGGATATTTTAACTAGGTCTTGATACTTTTGTTGAAAGCAAAGAGCTATGGAACAATAGCTCACCGCAGGGTTTTCCAGTCGGTCATTGGAGGTGTTGCCACGTTTCAGACTGGCCCTGTGTTTGTACCTCAGGTGTTCATTTCCTAGATGGACAGTGCACCCGAGTATAATTAGAGTAAATATAATTAGAATAAGAAGTAATTTTTTAAAAAAGTAAAACAAACAAATTGACCAGAGATGCTTTCTCAAGGAGAATAATTTTTAGGAAATAGTACTTTCTGGAAGGCAAGGATCTTGCAGTTGAGATGCTGGGAACTGGCCCACACCAAGGAACCTCCTGAAAGTCTTCAAGTGCCTCCCGGTTACGTTTATTCCAGCTTGAAGCTGGTTGCCTCAGAACATTGTTTCCTTGATCTTAAGAGTCTTTAGGGGGAAAAGGTATATTTAGTTAAAACAACTTTGCCGATGATGGGCATAAATGAATTTTAATCAATGTGGAACCTCTCCCCATTATGGAACTTGTCTACTTAGTAGAACTTATTTAGTTGCTCATGCAATGAGAGAGAACAGGAATGAGTGTGTGAGGGGGGCCCTGGGGGATGCTAGTGTTCCGTGGAATACTCTTTGGGAAATATCAAATGTATGCAAACCTTTTTGTCTGTACAGTGGTCAGCAAACTGCGGCTCGAGGGCCACATGCTGCTCTTTGGCCCCTTGAGTGTGGCTCTTCCTAAGCCTTAGGAGTACCCTAATTAAGTTAATAACAATGTACCTACCTATATAGTTTAAGTTTAAAGAATTTGGCTCTCAAAAGAAATTTCAATCATTGTACTGTTGATATTTGGCTCTGTTGACTAATGAGTTTGCCGACCACTGGTATAGGAGAAGCGTGAATTCGTCAGCCTGTACATGGCCAAGTCAAAGGTCACCCAGGTTACTTGCAACATCCTCAGGGTTTGGTGGTGACTAGCTGTCACCAAAGAACAAGTAGAATAATAATAAAAAACAACACACCTTTGAGTGACGTGCTGTGGATCATGCTCTTTTTTTGAAGCGGAATCTTTTGTGCCCTGATTTGGGGAGAGGACTGAACAGCCCTGTAGCCGTGACGGTAGGCTAGGTTTTCACGTGTGCTGTTGGCTACATGGATCTTATGTAAAGGCACTGCTTTCCGAGTTGTGTTTTGGAGAATGAGGTCTAAGAATGACATGCTTTTCAAGTAATACTGCCGTGTGTTTCAAGTGCTCATTGTGGCACTCTGACCCCTACAATGGGAGAAGACTCTAAAATTTCCTGGGGCCATAACTTCCGAGGGCTAGAAGATTAATGACTGAAGTCTCAATGAGTGTGCCCTTTGAGATAGGCTCTTGGCTACTGGTGAACACACAGTGCTGCGTCTACGAAGATGCCCAGTGAGGGCTCAGTTCTTTCCTGTGATAATTTTCCTTGAAAACAAAACCCTGAGGTCCTTTGGTCCTGGCTCCTGCATTCTCCCAGTGGAACCTAGAGGTGGTTAATGCCGTTGGTCCTTTCTTCCCAGAGCAGCACTAACATTTTGGGATGGTATTAATAAGTGTAGCATTTATAACTGTCATGTAGGAATCCATTGGGATGGAATGAGTAAAAGTATTAAGTATGTTTTTCAGGAAACATGATACTTTAGAAACCTTGTTAATTGTGCATAATTTGTGACATCTCAATCTATTCTGTATAAAGGTTTAAATAGCCCTTTCCTGTATTACCCCATGTGCAAACTGAGAATACCAACAATGAGGAAGGTTACACTCTCTATATAAAAAATTCCCATCTTCAATTTATTCTTTGCCCAGTGTAAATTGTTTATTACTTTAAATGTGGTTTCTGCTTGGGGCCACCTCCCTTCCTTAGTGCCCATCATTGGGAGCTGACTGTATTGAATTACTCTTATGCACTCTTACAATGAATGTTGTTGTTTTAAGGTCTTCTTTTTCTTTGTGATTCTTTTGTTCCCTAGCGTCGTCCCCCAGACTACAGTAATACTCAACAGTGATCGGCAGAACGCCATTGTAGCCAAGATGGACGACCCCTTGAGCAACAGGGCACCGGATTCCCTGGAAAATATCATTAGCAAGTCAGTAGCCACAACACCATCTCCACCTTTCACTGCCACTGCCACTGCCACTGTGATGAGTCCCCTTGAGGACAAATCAGCATTTTGAACTGGGCACAGTTGGGCATTTCTGTCCTCACATGGGTTGAGCCCAAAAGGCACTGTCCACACTTCCTTGTGGTGTGGGGGGGCTGTGCCATGCTTCGGACCAAGGTCCCATCAGATGAGCTGGATAAGAGCAAGAGGTTAAAAAGGACAGACAGCATTTGGGCGTTTGGGACTGTTGTGTTCAGTGTAGTGTGTGGTGGTATCGAGACATGATGCTGTGTTTTCACAATAGTCAGTCAAGCCCTTATCCTCTTACCTGCTCATGGCTTACTCACATCAGTCTGTCTGTCCAGTAGCATGTCAAGTCAACAGATATTCTCATGTAAATTTGCTACGTGAAAATTTGCTAAGTGGTGGAGATATTTTGAGGTAATGGCTTTTTTTCTCAACCTTTTTCTTTTGAGACATTTTAAACGTAACCTTTTTCGGAGATGGGAGTGTATAAAAGGCATTCTCACCACCCTTATGTGATGATGAAGTGAGTTCCAGGTGGCCTTGTCTAGTGGTCAGGGCTCAGCTTTTCCTGATAACATTCCTCCAAGAGGGCTCTTTGCTTTTTGTTTCTTACCCGTGTCTTCACAACGTTCTGTTTTGCCTGTTCTCTCAGTCTCCTCTGCAGATTGTTCCTCCTCCATCAGCTGTGTCCAATTTTCTTTGTTGTCATAGCCTGGGTGTCTGAGGGCCTGTGTGCTGGGGTGCAGGAGGACAAGGTGAAGTCTGGGTGTCTAGGTGCTCAGAGGTGGAGGAGGTCTGGCCGGTGGAGAAGAGACAGGGGCAGGTGTGCCTCTTGATGGCTCTGGTGAAGGTCAGCTCTCCGATTCCGAGCCTTTAGGAGCCAAGTCAGCCTGGACAAGCCTCTGTGGAATCAAGAAAGTATACCTCCCTTCTCTGGGTAGAGCTAGGATTTGAAACATGTTTTAATGTGTAAACAGGGAAATTGTGCTTCTCTTTCCTTCTCAGTGCTTAGCAGTCCACGTTGAAGGGCTGTTGAAAGGGTCTTTAAAAAGGCAAGTAGCATGTCTCCAGATATTTTTTATTTTTTGAGTACTTTTCGAGCTGGGCTGTGTCCTGTTTTTCTGACAATATCTCATTGCTTCGTATAGGACCCCTGATGGTGGTGAGAATATTTCATCGGAGATACTTGACTGGCTTTTTAAATCTACTCCAGTGGTTTTTGTCAGTGGAAATCATTGGGAGTGATAACTGCATTTTCAAAGGCTGAGTCATTTCTAGAATGTCTAACAGTATGGAGTGGATTAGATCAATGGAAGTCTCTAGCCATACTTCCTCCTAATTTACTAGTAGTTTTTCCTTTGACATTGCTTAAAAGTTACTTTATGTGAATGTCAATATTTTATAGGAATACCTCTGTGATCCAAAAACAGCAGTTAGGCCTTGAGTCACAGAAAGCTGTGATTTTACTTCATGATATAAACACTTTTTAAAATTTTTAAAATGCTACATAGTTTCTTCCAACCTCAAACTATTTACTGGTATCAAATTGCTATTAATCTTGGTAGAGGAGGTACATGGGAAGACTTGTGCCCACTGCTCCGTGTGAAGTTAGCCTCGGACAAGGGAAGGAAAGAGGAACACACAGCGACTCATTGCTAGTCTCTGCCTGTCGGTGGTGCTGCTCTCACAACACTGGTGGTGTTTTTGTTTCCCGCTCAGCGCGGTTCCCGGGCGTCGGCAGAACACCATTGTGGTGAAGGTACCCGGGCAAGAAGACAGCCACAATGAGGATGGGGAGAGTGGGTCCGAGGCCAGTGACTCCGTTTCCACCTGTGGACAGTCGGGAAGTCAGAACATCGGAAACAACGTCACCCTCATCACCCTGAACTCAGAAGGTGCGCCCACAAAGCCTTCCTTTCCTTTGCCTGAATAGCATTAGGTATCCCCCACCCCCCTTTTAGAAAATTAATGTATGTTTATTGTTTTTGAAAAGTGATAAAATAGAAAAATGATGAAGGAAGTGTAAATAACCTGCTAAATTCCACGTCCAGAGAGATCTATAAATTTCCTGGGCATTTTCTGTATTAACATACACACTAATTTATGATTTTATAACTTGCTTTTTTCCTTTGCATAGTAGAAATCTTTCTACATTAATACAGACTTACATAATCATTTTCAGTCAGTTTCACTTATTTAAACAAGTTCTGGAGGCTTTCTAGTGATGGGACAGTTGTAATTTTTATAACTAGTGGTGTAACTAGTAGTTGGTTCACTGCCTTGGACAATAAGTCTATCCATGTCTCTCTGATGAGGGCCCAACATAGTCTCTCAGAGGTGTTGCACTTTCAAGTTGGGTCCATGCCACAAGCTGTGTCGTTTCTTCCAATGAGATTTAGAGGTTATGAGTCAGGACCGTTCTGTGGTATCATTCTATCAGGAGAAAACATTTTGTAATACATATGTTTCACTGACACTGTCCTTGGGAATGCTTCCCCCAGCAGTTTCAATATAACGAGAACTTGGACTGAGCAGTCAGTTGGCACAGTGGGTTGGGGAAGATGATACAGAGAGGGGTGGGTGGAGTCGTCTTTAAGTCACTGCTGTGTATGTGATGTTGGAGGAAGAGCTAATCCATTAATGTCTCTTGTATCAGATTTACTACTGACCTGTAGGGCGTCATCTGTTAAATATTTCTCTGAGATTTATGAATGCACTGAGAATCGGATTAGCCGTCTCTTGCCGTGTCCTCCCCTAAGACTAGAGCAGCTTGCTCAACTGGAATGTCAAGTTAGCTAGTTTATATTGGAGAAACATTATTAATATGCATAGTGCTAAAGGGCCATAGGCTTGTCTGTAGATTGAGTCATTTTAGTTCCTGATAAGAGCCCAGAGCTACAACAAGACAGATTGTTCTTATCTCCTGATAAAAATATTTAAGTGCCTAAAGTTTTAGAGAACCACAGGTATCAAAATGGTTACTTCTGAAGAATTCCAAATGGTTTGCATGAATTGACATTCTGTTTTATATCAAATTAGAGTTATTTTATTTATAGCAAAGATACTGTATCATTTTATCCCAGTGTTTTGCTCAGGCAATTTCATTGCTCATGGCATGAACTCCATTAGATTGAGAAAGAAGTGCTAACTGTTGAGAGCAGTGAACAGTAAACTTACTTCTTACTTCTTGCACCTGCCTTCTCTTGGAGGTTTTGGTCTTGGTGTACTTCTATTTTTGTTAAGTAGGGAAAGTGTTGGGTATAATCCTTTAAAGATTAAGCAAGCTAATTGAGTTAGGGAAACAAATGAGCAACACGGACCAAAAATGGGATCTGTTGATTAATGAAGGGATTTAGTTATATTCTTAATGAAGAGTTTAAATTCCTGCTGTTCATGCATTTGGTAGTTCTTAGAAAACTTGACTAATCCTGTGTATAAAACGTTAGGTACTTAATTTTAGTGAGAGGGTTGTACTTTAGGTATAATTTAATCAATATCAGAGATTGACCTCATGAATGTTCCAAAGCCCAGTCAGTAAGCTGACTTATATGACAAATATCTGTGATGTGCTCATTGGGAGTGGTGCAATGTTGTCTGGGAGAAGCATTTTGAATTGCTGTGTTCACAAAACATCAGCCATGCATACATAAAGAGGGAATTTAGCCAAAAACATTTCTTGATAATTTATTTTACATAAAACTTCTTTGCATATTTTTGTGTGTGATAACATTAAAACATTTTACTAGTGATCATAAATTGGCTGCCAAGAATAGGATTACAGACAAGTTCATGACCATAATGTAATCAAGAGAAACTAGTATGAGAATGTCGGTGGATGTGTGAGCATGAATGACCATGCAGTGAATGCCGCGCTTGTCCTAGATCAGAGAAGAGGGGCTGGAGGGTGATCTAGAACAGTGCTGGGAAAGTGACATCATTTCAGCATCTCATGTTGCATTTCAGAATCACAGCATGTGACACTGATTAGGGACTTTCTGTCTGTGCCCAGGGGTTCCCACTCCTTTATGCCAAGGGATGTCCTTCAGCACTTGTTTTAGTTATGGCCGAGCTCAGGACAACATCTGTGCTGAGCAGCCAGGAGTTCACAGGGAAAGAAGAAGCCCACCTGGTTCTATGCTGCTGTCCAGGCTTTGACCTCCAGGACTGGGGTGTCTGGGCCTGAGTAGGTGGCCTTGGCCCTCAGTCAGTGGTGTGGTCATGCTGTTTCTATGAAGTGTGCTCATAGCAACAGGAAAAGATTGGACTCTAGTTCCAAAGCCATTTGTTTTTTCTCTGTTCCTATATCATTATCCTATATGTAACTCAACCGTCTTGTGTTGCCAGTTTAAAACCCCCGAAGTATCAGTCTGTTTACAGCTTAAAGATGTCACATCACTCTCCAGTAAGTGTGCGTGTTTGGGCCACAGGTTTAAAGTTAACTGTCTAAAACCAGAAAAGGGCCATCAGTTTTTATGGGTTGTTTGGAGGAAATAGAGTGTTACTGAATGAGGTTCACAGTCAGAATGTAAACACCTTAATTTATAAGGGCTCAGAAATTGGTGCCAGATTCTAAGTACCATGTGATCCAGTGTTGGGAGGACTGGCCCAGCAAGACATACTTTGAAAAGGCTCATTTGGTTCATTCCCAGACCTATTCCTCCCAGCCTGCAGGTTCCCCTGGTCCTCACCCCTGGTACCTTATCTATCACTTTTAAAAGCCACAGCCCTCTTCCCGGACTTGTCCTTTCATTCCAGAGTTAATGATGTTTGCTTCAGCGATTGGTGTAGGAGAGGGATGTGGCGGAGGTGATATTGCATTGAAACATTTGAAGTGTGAATTGAGCATCTTAGAGGGTCAGAGGAGAGGTATATGAACACTGGGTTTCAGGAGCAGCTTAGGCATGGATTGAGCACTAGGGTTTTAAAAACTGGTGGGTGAACTTAAAGCTGGGAAAGGGCAGTACAGCAGTTGGCTTGAATGTAGATTTAATATTACTTTGGAAATAACTCTTAAATACCTCGCATTCCATGTATTAATGTTTGATCCAACATGTTTCCTAAAGTAGCCTCTGTGACTGACCAGCCCCACAGCCTCCAGAGACACGAAGGGCAGTGTGGTCCTACAGCTTTAGAGCCCGGTGCATCAGGGCAAAGGCCGAGAGGCCTCCTTCATAACCTTTTCTAATGGTTTCTTTTTAAATTTACAGAAGCACTTGTGTTTTCTATGCTGCATGACACATGACCACCAACATAGTGGGTCTAACAGCACTTTTTATTATCTCACAGCTCTGAGGAGGCAGAAGTCTTTGTTCACAAGGCCTAAGTCAGGGCATTGACCGTGCTGGGCCTGTATCTAGAGGTGCTGGGGAAGATCTGCTTCCAAGCTCAGTTAGGGTGTTGGCAGGATTGTGCTCTTATAGTTATACGACCAATGTCCCCATTTTCTTGTGAGCTGTTGGCCCAAGACTGTGCTCTGGCTCTTACCTCATGGCCCTTCATTTTACAATGGAGATTTCTCTCATGTTAAGTCCCCATGACCCTAACATCTCTGTCATCCCTTTCTGCCACCAGCAGAAAAAAATCTGCTTTTACTGGGCTCATCTGATTAGGTCAGGCCCACCTGAGACTCTCCTCCATCCTAAAGCTAACTACTCAGTGGCTTTTATGATACCTGTGGGATCCTTTGTGTCCCTCGACATAATCACAGACAGAGGTCATGGAGCCATCTCAGAATTCTGCCCATCCAGACCCTGCTCATGCTGGCTTTAGTTTTGGCCTTGTGGTGTGTGTAGTTGTCTGGTGTACTGGATTCCGAGTGTAGACAAGACTCTCCTAGAGCAGGCTTCTCCGTTTTCTTTTCTTTCTTTTTTTTTTTTTTTTAAAATATATTGTATTGATTTTTTACAGAGAGGAAGGGAGAGGGATAGAGAGTTAGAAACATCAATGAGAGAGAAACATCGATCAGCTGCCTCTTGCACACCCCCTACTGGGGATGTGCCCACAACCAAGGTACATGCCCTTGACCGGAATCGAACCTGGGACCCTTCAGTCCGCAGGCCGACGCTCTATCCACTGAGCCAAACCGGTTAGGGCTTCTCCGTTTTCTAATCCCTGACTCCTTTGGGAAACATGAGAGATCTGAACATTGGAGATGTTAGAAATAATGAAATATATCATGTGATCTGTGTCTTTTCAGATAGCACATGTCATCTTGCTGTACTAGATGTCCTGTCCCTTAACTCCCACCCTGACTCCCACTCAGTGACATTGACTGCTCTCCTGGAAGCCTTGGAATGAATAAGGCCCCACTCTCCCCACCCCTGTGCCTCATGGACATGGCGGAGACTCAGATCTTTTACAGAAATGTTTCAGAAAAGGTAGCAATCATAATTATGATTCTGATGAGATCATTGATAGTGAGGAAATATAAGAGAAGAATTGTGCAATAATTTAAACTGCACCCCACCATGGCCTGCAGAAGCACAGAGGATAGGCAAAGGGAAACTGGGGCAGGACATGAATCATGAGGTCAGGATACGCCAAGGCTGTAGTTTAGGTCTTCTTTTTCCGCTGTTCAAGTGGTTGTTAGCCATCAGGCCATCAGGGTGTCCAGTTACAGAGAACTCAGGGTGCCGACTACTTCAAGGATAGTTGAATAGTGTTTTCACTTTAAGAAATGTTTGAGCATTACTGATAAAATCTTTATAATAGAATTGTTGATCTAAAACATCCCACTAAAAAAAAACCAAAGCAAAATTAGCCCATACCAGAAAAGCATTTTAAAAAGAAAACAGTAGAATGTACCATTTCTAAATTGAAATCTCTATAATTTGTAGTTTGGGGAATGCCAATCTTAAAGATTTTTAAAGTTCTCAAATTTTCTTTCATGTAATTA